CTCAAAACAAGCCTAGAATGTAATTACTTCCAAGTTGGGAATCGACTTTTTTAGCAAGTAGTCGGAATCTCAATGGACAGTACCTATTCCACGAACATGGCAAACCTTTTCCTGTTTTTCTATGAATCACAATTTATTAAAGAAAATCCTTTCTCTGAGAATTATGCCTTTACATTCCGATACATAGTGATCTCCTGGCCATTAACAATGACAAGATAGATCGTGATACTAAAAACATCTATCTGGATTGTATGGAAGTTGTAGAGACAACTCAACCACCATTTCTTAAGGCACACTACTTGGATTTAAACCTAAGTATCTCAAATTCGCAGATACTGACCATTATGTACGATAAGAGAAGGGATTATTCATTTTGTATACTGAACATGCCTATATACCGCTCTATTCATAAATTCTAGGACAGGGGGTGCTAATATTTGCTTAGTTAGGCCCACGGCCTATTTAGGGCTATTCCATAACTGGCGAGTGTGGTTTCCCTTGTTATTGATTACATTTTGATATGAGTATTTTTCTCGCTTAATGTGTTTTTCTGATTGCAACACGATAGTATTTAAATATATTCCAGTAAAACCAATTTTAATTGGAAGCTTGTGGAAGTATTGATACTTTCGTTCCTTAATGAATTGGTGCATGCCTTTTTACTGATTAAGGGTTTTTACTTTAAGCTACGTCTTGGGAATATATGTTTTGGTATGGTGTTTTTAGTGATTAGGGAATGCCGGTAAGTGTTGATATTTCAGCTAGTTCATTAGGGTCTGAAAGGGAGCATAGGATGGTGAGTTGGTAGCAGATAAACCTTTTTTTTAGTGGTTGGTTTTTATGTTGTTAAGGGTAAGGGAGATAAAGATTTTGAAGTGGTCACTGATAGAGGAGGTTATAATACCATGTTGTCTTAACTGGATACGCATTGTAAATATGGTCTACCAGCGAGTTTGTTTGCTCTTCAGGCAAACAAACTCGCTATGGTCGCACCTTCGGCGCTTCGTGGTCTAATATAAATTCATTCAGTGATTTATTTTCAGAGTGGCAAAAATGCATTAAAAGTATGTGCCTGTCGAAATGTGTATCGATAGAGAACTAGTCGATAATTTAATCAAAATAACTACTCCGATTGTTTCTGTGTGCCTAACTTCAAATCTCTTCATAATCTGCCATGATGGGTCATATTTGAAAAGTAGGACTTGCACCCTGCAATCGAACAAGTACATCTACTCCAAGTCTCAACTTAGTTATAAACAGTTATCCTTTTCACTGATCTAAAAAGATTCAATAAAATCACTCATTTTTAAAGAAAAAGTGCCCCGAGGGGCTTTACCTAAGAAGTATAATTTTTTTTTACTGAAATCAGTATTTGGAGAACTACGTGTCAACCATGTTTTAATCTTATTCATTTGCTCTTTTTGATGGTGGAAAAATATATTTGGAAAAGCCAACGCAGCCATAAACTGCCCCCTGAGGGTATACAACTCAAAACTTTAAGAATTCTCTGAACACGCAATCACCTCAGATATTGATGTGACAAGTTTGACCTTTCTATTTCAACCCAATTCGGTAGGACAAAAAAAAGAGGATATCCCCCCCCCAAATATGCCCCCAGTGCATGCATCCGAAACTTGATATTTTTCCTGAACTGAATGTCTCAGTAGGCATGTTCTGTAACTCTGGTATTCTTTGATGTACAGATATCACTTCTTGTACGTATCTTGGGTTTCAACTTTGGGGAGCGTGAGCAAAATTTCTTGCTCATTGGTTTTCATTTTGATCTTTAAAGAATAAAGTTCCAAAAGATACTTTGAATTAGTCTTCGAATATGCGTGATGATTTTTTTTTAATTACTGAAAAAATTCGAAGGGCCGTAACATTTTGCGTGGAAGTAGACGAATTTACAACATCTCATGAACTTTGAAGGTATTCCACAGATAGAAAGGATTCGTAGATAAGAAGACCTTTAACACGATGACCAAAGGTTGAGCGATCATCGACATCCACACAAAAGTGAAACCTCGATACACCTCCATGAATGTCTGCATGGGAAAATTTTAAGTACTTAGAGAGCTCATGAATTGTCAATTTCTGAACTCTGTGAGGAATTTCTTAAACTTTTTGTCCCCTTCCCAACTTTTTTGATAGCCGACATGGGTCGTCCCGTGTTCATGAACCGATACTTGGCCAGTCAATGATTCTATCTGGCTTGACTAATTGCTTATTTTGAAGTCATTCCTGTTGGGACACCGTATCGCAATCATTTTAACCGCCCTGGAATTCACCATGACAATATTCTCTGTCTTTTTTGGGGCCATGCTTTTATTCGTTCTACATATAATCATTGACACATTCTCTTTATCGACCACATCACTCACCACGGAGTCGAGGATATCACCTCACTGAAATTGAAGTAATTGTACCAAGTAAAGAAAGAGACTAATTGTCCATAATAATCTCAATATGATAAAAAAAATTGCGATACTATAAAAGAAAGTTCGAAGAGTTGAGGGCAGAAGAAGGAAAGCATAAATTAGTAAAGCATGGTTTCAACCCACGGACCTCAGGGTTATGGGCCCAGCACGCTTCCACTAAACCACTCGGCTGTGGACACAATAACGGAGGAGGCGTTTGAAAGTGAAGGTTGCATGGAATGGATACACTGGGGAAGAAGTAAGGTGAAGAGTGGAGAAAAGCGTAAGTAGACAACGCATTCCACAATCCTGACAATGGCACCAGATCGTGGATGCGAGGATGTAGTCCGTATGTGGCTACGTTCATGAGCCTTGTAAGCCTTGTTGATGGCGTCAGCGTCCTGAAACCGTCGTCCACGCCGGCTCTCCTCCACCAAAGGAAAGCGGAAGAAGTCGCAGGGCGGAGATCGGCAAACCGGTATGAAGGGTTGAAGTTAATGCATGTTGAAATCAGAGGCTATAGCTTTAGGGCTCGTTGTGGGAGACAATGGAGGTTTCGGCCAGATCAAAATTTCTACACGGACGCTTTTTCAAACAACTTGGAAACATCAATCAAGACATCAAATATATTAACGAAATCCATAATCGAAGCCACTTCTTCTGAGGATCGGTACCAAGTAGAGAATACGATTTATCATCCACAAGAAAATAAATATGTTCAACATTTTCCAGACCTTAAACAAGAAATTCCATTTGACCAAACGGTTTCATCAAGTTCAGGGTCCAATATCTACGCTTTCCACCTCGGGAATTCGTGGTTCCAATACCTGTACATCATTCAAAAGCGCGTGGTATGCAATTTCTAACGACACTAAGTTCGAGAGTGGCAATCAGTGATTTCATGAGAAACGAAAAACTGATTTACGATTGGCACCCAATTGCTTTTTAAAATATGACTATTTCCAGCGGTAGTGCCAAAATGCCACTTGATCAAACGGTTAGACCAATTTCAGCGACCGACCTCTGCACTTCGCTATGAATCCAGAGTTATAATAATTCAATCAAAAGTGTGACTCATGCACTCTCTGACAATACCAAATTCAAGATAGGCTATCAATGCCTTGATGATTTAAGTCTACTTGTACCAAATGAGCCACAGTTGCAACTGATCCAACTGTTTCACCGGTTTCAGCGACCAGGGGCCTGTTTCTCGAAGCATACAAGTAGTACAAGTTACAAGTATTAGTCTTGTAAATTACAAGTTTATGTTTCTCGAAGAATTAGGATCCCACTTGTATTTACAACTGTGTGCGCTCGTAATATATTAGTGTTGTTGGGCAAAATACAATTTTTCGTTTCTCAAATGAGAAGTCTGGGGGCATATACTTGTAAAAAGCCAGAGAAATCTTACTAGTCTCTGGACGTAGGTTAAAGTGTTCACAAGTGCATATTGGTACAGGTGGTAAAGCCATGTTTTCTAGCGATTCCGATGAATCTGGGGATGAAGTACGGGTGCGTGATGTTCGCGCAGTTCGCTATCAGAGAGTTGTTCAGCCAAGATCTGGTTTTGATTTTCTGAATACATATTCCTTCAATGAGCTATTTCGGTTGAAACCGAGCGATATGGAGTACCTACTTCAGAATATGCGGCTTCGTCTCGAACGACCCACTGCGAGATGTAATGCACTTGCACCAAGAGATCAGATCCTCATTGCTCTTCACTGGCTTGGCAATGGAGGACAGTACCACGACGTTGCCGACATGCACAATGTCTCCAAAGCGTCTGTGCACAGATGCGTTCGTGATGTCGTGAACGCCATCAACTCAAACCTCTTCCCAGCCCATGTGGACTGGCCAAAGACGGATGTTGCTGAGATTGCAACCAAGTTCTACGGACTGACAGGAGTGCGACCCGGAATGCCCTACGTTTGCGGTTGCGTTGATGGCACTCTAATCAAGTTGGATGCTCCCACAACTGATGAGGCTCAGTTTGTCGACCGTACTGGCAACCACTCAATCAACTGTATGGTTGTGTGTGGCCCTAACATGCTCTTCTATTATGTCAGTGCTCGATGGCCTGGAAGTGTACATGATGCCAGGGTATTACGCAACAGTGGCTTGTGCTTGAAAATGGATGCTGGCTGGCGCCCATTCCCGGGTGCCGTAATTCTCGGTGACAGCGGTTACCCCTTGAAACCATGGCTTATTCCTCCTCTGCATGATGACCCAGAAAATGAAGCAGAAAGAAAATTCAACCGAGCTCACAAAGCAACAAGACGCGTGATTGAGAACGCAATTGGAATACTGAATGAGAAATTTCCAAGTCTAAACCATCTCAGAGTCAATCCTGTTTTTGCCGGCAACATTTTCAAGGCATGTGTCACCTTGTGCAATCTAACCCGAGACACAGATGAAGAAATCTTCTACCCAGGAGATGAAGATGACAAGTTTGGTGTCATGAAAAAGCCCGATGCTGACGACGCGGACCACCCACCTGATCCGGCGGCTAAACAACGGCTTCTGGAGTTAATTGGGCATTTCGTATAGAAAAGAAAAAGAAATAATAGGTGAGTCAGCAATTATTCATTCATTATTCAAAAAGTCACTGACAGGCTCCAAATGGACGAGTGACGTCCAGCCGGAATCGCTAGACAGACTTCTGCAATTGACAATGGTATTGTCATGTACGATGGAATCGCTGTGGCTGGTATCTCCTCCTTGCATGCCCTGGGTGAACTCAGAGGCAGGTAAACGAAGGCGACGTTCCATCTCCAAGATCTCTAACTTGAGTTTGTGATTTTTCAACCTCAGGTATTCAATTTGAAGTCTTGCTTTGACTTCTGTGATGTTGCTCAGTTCTTCCTCCTTGTTAACGGCCAAAGGAGGTTCTGATGATGCTGTTGCCTTCCGTTTCCGCAGAACTGCAGCAAACTAGATATGGCATAATAAAATAAAAAATCGCTCCGCTCTTTAATATACCATGACACGAGACAGCATGTAACAACAAAGTTTTCTATTGCAGGGCTTCTCTCTCTTCTCTATATTACAGGTCAAATCTCGTTGCAACGAATTCCGTTACAAGAATCTCACTATTACGAAAATATTTCCAAGCCCCGGTCGATGACCCATAGTAATGGTACTTTGTAGATCTCGTTACAATGAGACTACGAATAATTCAGTACAACGAACGCTTTTTTCCATTCCTTGTACGTATAATAGTCACTCCTTATAACGAAAAATATCTAACATCTGAAAGCTTACGAAGGGATGATCGCCTGCCGTTTGCGACATCACTTCCTTCCCATTGGACCTTGAGAGAATTAGAAATCACTGTTCCCACGCTTGTGGCATAAAAAGTGATAGCACAAGAGGGCTAAATTGAGCTAATTTGAACAAAGAATGTTTCGTTTGACCTTATTTCGAGCAATATTCAATACAACGAAATAATCTGCACACCCCCTTGAAGTTCGTTATAACGAGATTTTACCTGTCACGAGATCTTGCCTGTTTCTCGGGAACCATTTTGACACGAGAGCGATTGCGAAAAAGCGACTCGATTAATTTTTCACTAGGGAAAATTATCAATGGGAAAGTGGTCCTTATGCCTGGTCCGCACCAGTTTCGAGACATTGTTCCTCAGCCTGTCTGTAATAATGGTGCTCTTCAAGGAAGTTGAAGCAGGAATAACCCTGTTATTTTGCACAAGAAAAGGGAATTTAAGAGTCTTTCAAAATCGCTTGGAAAGTATAACTGCTAGAGATAAGCTGACATACATTTTATGCTTGGAGGAGACTTAAGGAAACTTAAGGTAAAAAACTACTGTACTATCTGATGAGCACCAACAATTTTCGAGTCTTTTTTTTGCTTCACCTGAAATAAGCAGGTGTATTCTATTTTGCATGTGATTTCCCGTCGCCTGAAAGTAAAAACTTAAATTGGGTTCTAAATCTCTAAAGTAGCAAATCAAGGAAATACTCTCCGGAATACTGATAGTAAAAATTATGATCAGCAACCCGACTTCATAGTGTAGAATGACTTTAATATATGTATACCCTTCGGATTGGTGGAAGGCCTCTGAGGGAAACTCGAATGCTGCTGCAATGACGAATCGGTTCCATCAGGCCCTACCTCACCCAAAGCTTCATGTTCTACCCAAGTTTCTGTTACTAGCAATCCTTGAACCGCAGGAGATTCTTTTCCCATGATATCCAGCAGCACCTCGTCCACTTCACTCATCTTCGAACCCTTTCCTCCTCCTGATCCGGTTTTCTTCATGTTATCGAGTTTTCCCTGTTGAACGATTATAAACTGATATTCCAACTGCGTGTGTCTCATGAGTTATATATTCATATTTATAATGAGAGCATAAGTTTCGTACGAGTATCAATCATGCGGTAGCTCCTTCGGAGAGAACTGACTTTTTGTGTTCCTTCCTTACTTTTTCGTTTGTACACACAGTTTACTACGAGAATGCTTAAAACAATTTCATAATTCCCTTCCGAAGCCAAACTAATATCTTTCAATTAAAAATTGGGATTTCAAAAGCACTCAAATATTGAACAACATGCGCATAATCCAAGAGAACATATTAGGATTACTCAGATTTAAATCTGAAAGGTTTATGCTAAAAATTCAGTTTCATTTTCCTTACTGCACCGTTTTCACAGTTTAAAATGTTAAAACTTCATGAAAAGGGGAAAACACGCCTTTCTGTTACTTACCATCGTTGCCTTCCTTTTGTTGCACCACCATACATCCCGCATGTATTTCCACGTCTTCGTCCCTGCAATCATCCCCAGGGCGCGCGCCTTATCAGCCACCATGCTCCAGGCATTCTCCTTGTCTTTCTTGGTGATATTTTCGCAAAACGCACCGAACAGAACATTTTTCTTCTCACGAATGAGGATGAGCACAGCCAACGTGCTTTCCGTGGGTGCCATTTTCTCCTGTAGACTTGTGAACTTTGACCCGGCAGTAATAAATTACAAGCGTTTCCTACAAGTTTTTCAAGAAACAGAATTTACAAGTACTTGTAAATACAAGCGATTTCTTGTAAACTTGCAGACTTGTAAACTTGTAAGCTTCGAGAAATAGGCCCCAGGTCGCTTTGCCACAGCAGTGACTTTCTGCTCGGTGAACTTCGCGATGATATTGGGCACAGATCCACGAGAAATGCCGAGATCTTCCGCAATCTGTCGCTGACTCTGGCCACACTCAACGCCCAATAATATGACATCGGGTAAACGGGAAAAAATCTTGGGATGCGCTTGTTTTCGGCATGGTGATGGTGCAACTGATTATTTGCCCATTTACAAGTTAGACTGTTCAATTTAAGCCAAATTACTTCTGAAATATGAAAGGTTAGACTACATGCATTCATTTATGGGGATTACTAAATCAATGGTTCTCAACCCTTTTTCATGCCGTGATCCATTGAACCCTCCTCCCATATTCATACGACCCAAAAATTTTGATATAACTCCACAGTAAGAAGGTCAATATCAACTTATTCTCGAGGAGATCATCTGCTCCTATATTGATGCTGCTTGGATATGTAGATCATTGAGTCGGGCAGAGGTCTGTTTCTTTTTTTTTTCGTCCCGATGTCACCTATTGCTTCTTATTTTTTATTTATTTAAACATTATTAAAGATTATTTAAACATTCCCATTTAGAGCACTTCCTGATGTCCATGTTTTTTTCTGCCAGGGTCTGAGACTTCCCGTAGATGTCGGCTACCTTAATGCTGAAAGGTCGTTTTGGGCCAGGTGCATTGCATGAGATGTTTTTCTTTTGCTTCCAAGGATTTACTAGCAGAAATTTCACGCTTGAAGGCCAGAAAGGCTTGAATAACGAAATGGAATATATAGGGCGCGGCAAAAGTCATAAACCCATTCCATTTTTTCATTACTTTGAAACTGCAACAGATATCAATCTTCTTTGCTTGAAATAATAGTGTGGACCCTTGAGCTTTAAGCCATGAACTAGTGGTTCAAGAAGGCTCTGCTGTTGTGGAGCTCTAATTAAAAAAAGGTGGCTCCTCCATTATCTCTGCGCCAAGAGCTTTCCGTCACCAAAGGGTCTACAGCAGGGGTCGGGAACCTTTTAGGCATAGTGAGCCACATTAAGGTTGAGCTAAGTGCTTGTGAGCAAAAATATTTTCAGAACAACATACTTTTTCCTGAAGTTGACAAACAGAGGTGTACATTCTTTGATACATGAGGAACAACCAATATTTTCAACCATGACTCAATGAGCCAAGCTTTTCGGCTCGTGAGCCAAATTTGACTCATGAGCCATAGGTTTCCGACCCCTGGTCTACACTATGATCTGAAACAGAGAAGTCAGTGACATCTGTTATACAGTACCAGAGCTATGAAAAAATAAAATGGGTTTATGACTTTTGCCGCACCCTGTACAAAAAATAATTGATAGATATATATATGCTTGATTTAGAGTCTCAAAGTATATATTTCTACTTTTTATATATAATGTTATATATAAATGCTTCAACTGCTCATGCATTTGAAACAATGTGACCAAATATGCTTCCGGGGAGAGTCTTCCTTGAACTTTTCTCAGGCGATGTTGCTTCAATTTCCATCTGCTCGATTTCCTCATTAGCTGACTCGGGAACCGGCAAAGAGCTGAATGTGTTGATTGCCTGCCAGAGTGAGTTTACTTGAGCTCGAAACGCAGCTTCCTCTTTAGGGTCCTCTCTGCAGTGCAATGCGTCAATGGCGACCATGGGTGGTAGTTGCAGGTCCTGGTTCCTAGAATCACCGTGCCAGAATAGGTATTCAAGACAGTCCAGTTTGACCCTTTCCAAGAACGAAGATCCATAAATTCTGGAGCGTCTGCGTTCTGCGTCCGCACTGAAGCACCACCGGCTGAAGACAAGAGCCACATTGAAGACGAAGGATTTTCCAAAAATAAGCCTGAGGAGACATATCAGCTCATCTTCCTCATCGCGATGTCGCAGCACCTCGGAATTTTTCACCCAAAGGATGGCGTCCACTGCGGTTTCCCCTCGAAGGAACTCAACGATCATCTTAATTTGTTGGATGACAGCTTCTTTCCCCATGGGTGTCTCTCCGAGCGCGTCGATGACGCGGATGGGCTTGGTCGTGTCACCGAGCCAGAAGCCATCCCTCACCTTGACGCTGCGGCCACAGCTTGCACCCGTGCCAAATCCGTTCACATCGTCGTCGTGGTTGAAACCCAAGAGAACGTTCCCGAGTGAGGACTTCCCTGCCCCTGTCATTCCCACGATGCAGAGTGTTAATCGCCTGGCGGCAGCGGGGTTTGAGTGGGCAGCGCAGCTCGAACACTCCGAGGACCTGTGCGAGATGAAGTCATGTTTCAAAGATCTTTCGTTTATTTTTACTCATTTCAATTCAATTTCTTTATTTTTCTCTTGGAGGTCGAGCGTCCATTGTGACAGCCTTGAAAAGAAAAATTGCACTTGGCAATGCTAATATATATGTATGAATGAATTAGTGAAGGAATACATTATTAAACGAGTGAATACATGCATAAACGAGTGAATGAAACAAGAAATAGGTGGAAACACAAATAAATGGACATTTCAAAATGAAATAATATGAATGTGGACGTGGTGAAGCAAGGGTAACAGCCTGTCATCGCTTAAGATATTTAGACTAAGAGTACTTGCTTGGATAGTTTAAATGAAAATGGGGCGACATAAACGTCGCTCAATAGAGGCGAGTTTTGCTTTTAAAAATTGCCACTAAAGGGTATTGAGAAGTCAGTAAGACATTTTAGGATACAAGGAACTGATCGACACGATGAAAAAAATATTCCAAAATGTTTTCCGGCACCAAAAAAAAAAATGGAATTCAGTCTTGAACATTTTCCATAAATAACATGGTCAAAGTGTTGATGAAAACTTTAGGTAAAATTTTGGTCCTTTTTCAACATGTACATTTTTTGGAATATGTGCCAAGAGAGATCCAAAAATGTTACAGGGAAGGAACAGTTATGATAGGATTTTAAAGGTCCTTCTGCAAGTAGAATTTCTATGCAGTCTCAGTGTAAAACAAACCGTTTCTGCAAAGCTGGAAGTCACGGAACAGCGTCACATAAATCAATTGCAATTTGGAGGCAGCAAAGTAGGAACGCAGCTTAAAGTGGACAGTTCAGGGTTTGGGTTGGGGACATTCTGAAGCATATGCACCCACATTGAATCGAGATGGAATGCTCATTTAGTCCTGTGGTGCGGTTGGGTCCACAGCACCCTAGGGCATGATTTGTGACACCAGTGAGGTTGGCTGAAATTCTGTTGCCTTTTTCCCAGTCTCTCTGCCTGCATCCTCCTGCCCTCCCCAGCAATAATAACCTGATAGCAGCGAAGCGCCCATAACGATAGGGAACTTTAACCCCTCCCCCCCCCCCCCCCAGTCCCAGTTCGACAGTGGTTAAATCTCTCGATTACAATATCCTATAGCGTCTTTGCCCGATTGTGACGGTTAAAAATCGCTTTAAGAATTTAGTTCGGGACCAACAGACTTCCAGGACCCGAATCTCAGGTCAGGTCCCGCATCTCAGCCGAAAATCGCTGAACTATTCAAATCGATGGTTCCTCAACTTTTTGACCGAGTGACTCATAAGTTTCCCACAGAAAATCTTTAAATCAGGCGAGCTAGCGCTACAAGCGACACAGCTGTGGAGCGCCCCGAGGGTATAGGGGGACTTGACAGGGGCTGGCTAAAGGTCAAATTGTGGGGGGGGGGGGGGACCCTGCCATGAGGAAATTCAGCGAAAATTTGACAATAATACAAGTGGAGAAACTCGACATATGGCAACTAACCATTTCCTTTCTTTCTTCTTGACCCTAGGTGACCCAACCAAAGCCCCGCATTGACCCAAGAGTGGGCCACGACCCGCTGGCTAGGAACCTCTGGTCTAATTGCTCCCTCAGAAAAATGAAAACGGATAAATGCAGCAGTGTTTTATAGCCTCAAAAGTGGAACGTTGGCAGCGATGACATTTTATACATGTTTTCAGCCTTGAATAATCCTATTCCAGAAATGCGTCGCCATGATTTACTTTTAGGCTCTTACATTTGCTACTTCGACCATGTCATCTGTCAACCTTTTGCAATCAAAATTTTCAAGAAATATCCCGCATTCGATTTCTCATTTGACTTTGATGTAATTCAGGCATCGCCGAACTCCGACTACAAAGCGAGTGCAGATTCTGGGAATAGCAAACCTGCTGCTGAATGAATGTCATTACTCGATCAGATTCTATGAGATCAAATGATCTTGGAACTTACGACCGAGAGGGTCCACTTCGATCCTCGGGCTTTGCTCCGTGACGAGTTTCTCTCCCCGATTCCTTCTCGCTATGTCCGAATCCTGCCAAAGAATTTTCATGAAGGGAGTGAGGTGATCATGAGAAAAAAAATCATTCAAATATCGAGTTGACTCTCTTGAGAATCTCTTGCGCCTTGTTGCACTCAATATTTCCATCTTTGTCTTTTCCATGAGGATTTTCACACAAGCGTCATTCTCGTAGTTTTCCTGAAGTCGGACATGAGCTGAAAGTCCATGAAGAGACCAAAATACCCAATCTGTCCGTTACGCTTTATAACTTCGGTTCCAAAGGCATTTCAGAAGAAAACCATCGTGGAGCCTATCTTTGAAGCGAATGAGAGGCTTGTTGGAGGAGATGTTCCTGCTGTTTTCGCTTACCTTCGGTAGTTTCTTTCTTGGTGGCGCCATCAGTTGGTTCCGAATTTCGCGCGTTCCGTTTCCAGAATTCCCTGCGAGTTTCGTCGCAGTTCTTCCTGCAAATAAAGTCGACGATTTTGTCTGCCTCCTGCTCCATGCCCATCTGGCGCAGAGCCTCGCGGAGCGCTCCGAAGGAGGGATGCCGGGCCTCGGTCCTTCTCCACTCGCTGAGGAGGAGGTACATCCTCCTCAGCGGGCTCCTCGGAGGACTCTCGCTCGCTCGCTGGACCCTTCCGAGGGCGTCCTCGTCGAGTCCTAGTTCTCTCCCGAGCTCCTTCCATTTCTCCCAGGTTTTTTGCAGATTTCCCGCCAGGTCCCAAATATCGTTGTCGGAGGGCATCCTGCAAAATTTGAAATAAATTTGCCTCACGCTTTCAGCTTTCATTTCAACAATGCATTTCATGTCAATAAGTCTGATCTTTCACTTCACATTCTCTTTCTCTGAACACTGTTTTTCAGCTGTTTCCGGAATGCTCAAATGAGTTTTAAGCAGATTTTCTCATCTGAGAGATTTTGTTTCTTAATTATTTTGCTTCTTAATAACGTATTAATGAGGGACTATCAAATTCATATTTAATGAGTTCACTTTAGCCCTTTGTTTTCGTCATCAGGATTTACAATTTTTTTTCAAGACTTTTCCCTGAACTTCGAAGATCTAGATTTCATGTTCCCCGACGCTATGAAACTTTACTTCCCCAAAACGTTGCGTCTTAACAAGTTATGTAGGCAAATATCACTTTAATAAGCACCAAGAGCTACCTGTTTTTTTTCAGGCTTCTATCCTGGTGAATCCTGGATTTTATGGATCACGTCGGTTTTTCTCATACATGCAATACATTTCCTCACTGGAGCATAATTAGGATTTCATTGAGCAAATTTGCTGGAGCAATACTTTATTAAAGATTTTGTATGTGTCATAAGTGCATCAAAAGCGAACTGAAATCAAAGGCGCAGGGCAACCCTCTCCTTGACTGGCCCTGAATGCAAACGGGACAGTCACGTTTCGAAGACCACCTTTTATATTTACTGCTATATCCCGGTCCCATAGATTATACTGAACATTTTTTTATATCCACCAATGCGACTGCGAAACGGGAAAACAATACAACCTATGATGAACTTTCGACCTCCGTACATCATCAGGGACGCTTAAAATCCCTGTATTATATATTATTTGCAGGAGGCGCTAGGCAATGCAGTCTGCGAAGCCCTTGCGAGTAACAAGGCAACTCTCGTCTCCTCGTTTATCCCAGAGATGGCGAGACGAGAGCGAATCTCCGATTTTCCGTGAAAGTTGCCTTATCTCCCTTTCCCGTGGCCGATTAGGAAATTTCATTTTGAAAAGGCACATCCTCGGACGATAAGGAAGAGTTTTGTCGAAACTCCAAGCTCCTACCTCTAAGCGTATGACCTGTAGAGCTGTCACATAAACACACAATTTTCGCTCGGCCTAGCTAAAGGTGAGGATCGCGCTCGTTTTATGTTAAATCTCCGGACCTCCGGTTTGAATAAATTTCTATTTTATACTTGCATCAGTCATTAAAATATTAGTATTCGACATTTTTATAGATTTCCCACCACTCCAATTTAGTCGTTATCCTTAACGTATGGTGCACGTATATTTCATAAGTTTCAGACTTCAGAACAGAGTCGTGTTCCTTAAAAGTGTAGTGTGATCGTCACAAAGCCAATTATATGAGTATAGGAGCAAGATGATTGCTCTTTCATGAAATAATTTTAAATGCAGATGGCAGGATATTTGCCGCGAGGTGAAATCTGTTTAACATCTGCCATGTTGCCGTGTTATATCTCTAAGAACTGCAAGAGATGATCAAAGCATTTTCAGCCTGGAAACAATTTGAGGTCTACTCAAATGGCATAATATGATCTCATGTGGCAGTGGTTTATAGAAAACTCTTAACTTCAATCGCTTCTATTGTTTTTTTTTGCTTCAAACTTTAAAGATTTGCGACAAAGTATTGTTGTAAACGTAATTACGTAATTTAATAATTTACTGAACTAGTCAATCTTTTCTTAGTTTTGGCCAATCCATGGGATAAACTGCCAGTACCACAAAGGGGTTTGGCTTCATTGTACACCTGATCCATTGCGATTCGTTCGTGGAGACATCCATTAATGTTTTGCAATGGCCTCATTTACAGTCGTTGTACAGAAATGCAATTAGATATATGAAAGCTAATGGGAACCGAACTCTTTGACTTACTTGCTCAGGAGGATATTTGCACGGTTAGACTCGGCTTCGTCAGTGGCTCCCCCTGCTCGTGGAAATCGATAGAAAATTATTTTAGTTTATTTAGTTCACTGGAAGCTGGCATAACTTTCACTGAAATATACTCACATTGCGATTGAAGTTTTGTAAATATGTCCTCCTGTCCTGCCGCTTTAAGTGCATCGAGGAACTTCCCAAAACTCTTTGAGTCGATCTTAGCCGGCAGCTTCATGAGAAGGATGATCCTCCGATTCCCCTTTTTCCGCGGAGACATGACCTCATTCAGATCTTCCGAGGTCAGTACCCCCGACCGGAACAGGTGGACGGACACTCTGTCGACGTCCACGCGGCTCAGGAGGAGGTCCAAGTTCGAATTGAAGATGTCTCCCGGGGAATTCACTGGCTCGGCTCTTACTATTATTAGGAAAGTATCTATCATTTCACTGTCAATACTATAATGCTTATCAGGTGCTAGGCCATCAAATTTGGCGTGGTTCCTTCTTTACCTGTGCGCATTTGGTCCGCGAGGCTTTTGTGACCTCGTTTTCGCAGACATTCCAAGAAACTGCTGAAGGCCTTGTCTCCTCCACGATGGAGGAAATCCTTCAGGCACGGCCACCTTTCGGCAGGGGATTCGATGTCCTTAGTAGCAAAGTACTCTTTATCTGTCAGAATGTCGTGGTCCCACAAGTGGTAGAGAATGTCGTCAACATTGATGGACTCGAGGTCGTCTGCGTGACGGGCGAAGACTTCGGATATGTCCATGAGTCTTCTGCCACGATTTCAACATGACTGGAGACAAATAAAGGGATTTTTACATGAAAATATAGGATTCATTAAAAATATTTGAATTCAACTGAGTTCAATGAAGGTTTCTTAATGTCCTTCAAACCCAACATTACATTACAATTTCATAAAAATTGGAACGTTATCCGAATGCTATAAGCTAAGTCAAATTCATCAGAAATCTACATGCTTTCCCTATTAAATAACCAGATTTTAACTGTCGACAGCTGGGAATCCGATACCTGATTTCTGTCCTCATCTTGAAGTTTCACCATAAGTAGTTTACGAGTACTCAATTCGGCAAGTGCCAAAACACGCTTGTCAATTTTGCAACCGAATTCCAATTTTGTGCAAGTTCTTTAGGCCCATCATATTTTTGGAACAGAGTCCTTCCTGTTGTATGAATTACCGACCATTGCGAATCCATTACTTGTTGGAAGGGTCCAAATGAAAAAGAAGGAGATGGTAACGGGTGGAGACGAAGTTGGACGCCTTTCCTCGCATGTCAAAACCCGTAAATGATGTAATGGGTCTATTGACATGAGCGATTTTTGATGAAGGAAGACTTGTACTGTCCGCCTCCCTTGATGCCTCCTATGAATGCCTCCCTTGATGCCGTCTTTAGCGAAAATATTAAGTACCGTTCCAAAAGTACTGGGGACTCGTGCCAGTTGCATATATAAGGTAAATCCCTGTGCTTGCAATGTGGTGCCATCTCACATCAGGATCAGGAAACCTTCTTTGTTCGAATGTCTCGCTAGATGTCTCGTCCGACATGTTGATGTAGTGTTGACTATGCATTGAATCATCAGCAACAATATCCTCTCAACATTGTCAACATATTATCAACGTTGAGCCAACGTTGTCGTGTAGACTGGGTCGTAATTTTTTTGTGGTTCAGGTCGTCTTCCTTTCATCCTTCCGTCCTTTCCGTAGCCTTCCGGATTCCATTTATTTCTATTTTCTTTATTCAGAGGCATTTTTTTGGGGTTTGAAAGTAGTATTTGATGTTCAATGAGTTCAAATAAGGAAAATATATATATTAGAAAATCGTCAACAAGAAAGGAGTAAATTCGAAGGGCTAAAAAGACACCAATTTTTTGTCTTTTAAATTGTTACTTCTGGGAACGAATATATCACTAATTTCTCAAATAAACCCGATATATGTACAGGGTGTCTCAAAAAATGTGTACACACTTTATTAATAATAAATATATGTTAAGTAATTCAGAGAGGTACAATGTTCAATGTGTGGAGAAGCATGGGTTTGAATTGCATGGTTCACTACCACAGATGTTCAAATTGTTCACTGTTAGCATCCAGGCACTGTTGACAGTTGACTGTTGGTAAGGTCTATCAGAACATTGTTTGTGCATTACCATGCCAGCAATGTTCTGGAAGACCATGCCCTGTACCATCAGCATCAAACTTAACTTGAATCCTTGAAAGTTCTAGTACATTATGGTGGCATAGTTGCAAGTTAATTTCTTCACCTTCTTTGCACTTCACATGTGTTGTCAGGTTTTTAGAATCACTTCAAAATCAACTTACATTGCTCTAAGGTCAAGTGAGCTTGTGTCATCTGGCGTGATACACTGTCTCATGGGAAAAAATTGCTTGATGACACGCGATCATTCCATTTAACATTGTCATCTGTTAGGTACTGTACATGTCACATTAAACATCGTCCCTCTCTTAATTATTTAATAAATACTCTTGATTCAAGTGTTTATACATTTTTTGAGACACCCTGTATGTTTGCAGATTTAAGGAAGGTTTACGTTGTATAGGTTTAAACTACAAAAGAGAACACACTCATGTACAGTGTAAAGAAAAGCGATGGTCTTTGCTACATTGCATAAAAATAATTGTATTTCCCCAGAAGGCGACGGAAACACATATTTTCATTCAGTTTTTCTCACGACTTAACCCATGTGGAGCTTATGGCTTATGCTGAAAAAGACTTGAACTATATATTATCGTTAGGGATTGAGTGTAATATCAGAAACAAGTGGTGAAGTCTCATTTCATGACCCGTTTTTCGCTAACTGGCTCCAAATCGCGAATCGGTCTTGCTGCCTTGGCGTAAGACTAACAGCTTTCACTTTGAACACGTGAACCACCATGTGGCACGCTGGTGTGTTGCATGGTGCCATAGGAAGCCCAACGTACATGTTAAACTGTTAAAGTTGGATGGAAACTTTCTTCTTATGCGTATGTCTAGTACATGGTTCACTCCATATCCTCACCAGGAAATCTCTGTCATTATGCCATCCGACTTTTATGAAGGATTTCTCGACAGGAAACCGGATAAGAGTGAAACGGATGAGAGAAGGATTTATATATATTTATTATCGAAATAATTTACCGGACACAGTTCAGTCTCTACTCCAGAATTCAAAGAACCTCTTGATTAAAATCTCCCATGACCAGTTCAATGCGTTTCCCAGGTCCAACTCCTCTCCCAGGTGTTGGATGATTTTCACCCAAGAAGGACCTTTCAACCTCTCTTTTTCCCGCTGGACTTTGGACATACTTTCTTCCAGACGTTTTCGAAAGACCTCCACCTGCTTCCGGTGTTCTGCTTCCTGGTGCATTTTGAGTTCTCTTTTCTGTTTCTTGAGTTTCGCGTTCTTCTTCTGCATCACAAGCAATTCTTTTTCCATTCTGTCCACCGTTTTTTTAAGTTCTTCTGCTTCGTTCTCCATCTGCTCGATTTTTTCATAGGCTACCTCGATATTATCCACTGGTGTGGAACTGCATCTGCTGATTTCCTGCCAGAGGTTCATCGTTTCCTCTTCAAATGCTGCATTCTCTCTCTCATCTAGTACGTCATAGAAGGCATCGACAGCCATCATGGGTATCGTGTCTTGATTCTCGTAACCTGTATGGGGAAGAAACAAAGATGTCAAAAAGTCCTTTTTGACGTCCTCCAACTTGATGGGTTGTCGATGTCGGCTGCGTCGGCGTTCTGCTTCTGCACTGAAGCTCCATCGACTGAAGACAACCACCATGTTTTGGAAAAATCCACCACCAAACATTCGACGAAGCAAATCTAGATGTTGAGCCTCCTGCTTATCGAATCGTGGATGCTGGGAATTTTTCACCCATATAAAAGCGTCAACATGGCCCTCTTCTCGAAGCTTTTCCACGAGTTCCTGCCTGAATTGCAAGTCCCTCCCACTCGCGTCTCCATGCCCAGGTGCATCGATGATGCGAATGGGCCTGTTTTCGTCTCCAAGCCAGAAACCATCCATCGCACGGACGGAGATAGTACTGCTGCCTACCCTCGAACTTGTGTCAAACCCGTGCTCGCCGTCATCATGTTCAAAGCCAAGGAGAACATTTCCGAGAGTAGACTTCCCTGTTCCTGTCACTCCCAAAATGCAAATTTTCAACCGTCTGTTTACATGGGTGCTTGAGTGGGCAACACAGCTCGATCGATCCGAGGACCTGTGGGTGAATCGAATTCAATATTAAAATATGTATTTTATTCAATTCAATTCCGTGAAGTTGTTTCGTCCTTGTGTTGATGGGAAAAATAAATCAGGAGTGTCAGAGAAGGGACAATCGCCCCAAAAATCCTTGACTCCATGAACAAGAGACTTCATTGAGAGTACATTCTTACTTTCCTCTGGGAGTGGAAAGGTGATGAAAGGAAATCCATAGTCTATAAAGCCATTACATTATGATATGAAACGAATTTCCTCTATTTGTGCATTATTGTAGCATATCTAAGATAATCCTATTTGGGGGATATACTATGCGATAGACGATAAATTACTAGGCGCTGGAGGCTCGAAAGTCCATGAGTATGCTCTGATTTGGAATCTGGTCTAGTCCTCCATTCAATCTTAACACATTCGCTGCTAGCGCTTTTATTACGCGTACGCTATGCATAAATGTCGATTTCTTTGCGTACACTTCTTTTTGAAAAGGATTCGTATGTAATTGTTTTCATAGGCCTATTTTCCTAAGGTGACTTTGATATAGGGAAGTCATTCTGAAAGCCTTTTGCATGCTGTTAGCAATTCCACCGAAAGCTATTGTAACCAATTGTGAACAAAATACTAAAATAAATAATCCTGAACAAAGTCTAATATGTAAAATTATTCACATGTAACCTTATTCACTTATCAGTCAAGTCACTGCTGGGTCTTTCATCATCTGAGGAATGAAACAATTCATAATCTGACATAATGTTCATTTTTTTCTAAGGCTTCTGTGACTGACAGTCTTTTTCTAGACATTTTGCCTTCAACAAAACGATATAGCAGATATATATAATTTACTTATTCATAATTTATGTATATGTATCTTTGCCCCGAGCCATTCAATAGCTATAGTCATCCTATTACATATTACTACGCTGTAAGAAACATTATAACAGCGTTGAATATACAATGATAGTCCCATATAAACTCATTAGACTGGGGTACTGCTCTAGCTGTACACAGTGCTACAGAAAGAAATTGGGGTACTGCTAAAGCAGTATGCAGCAGTCTATGTGTTAAGAAGCTCTGAGGCCTCTCTGAAACTCCTAGAGAGACCTAATTTCGTAATTTACTCCTGGTGGTCACTAAAACATTTTCTTAACGTCTCAACTCTAGGGATGGAAGAGGTTCTCAGGTTTGCCTTCCGAAACACCCAGGAATAACTTCCACTCACGCTTGACGGTTTCGAACTTGGGTCGTCAGCCATAGGAGTCAAGATCCTCCTTAGTTAGAGCTTCAACCATGTCAATTGAGAGCCTATTTGATGCTCCAATTATCCTGTGAGTGAAAAGTCACTATCCGATCTCTGACTTCAGATTAATGTGAATCGCGCTATATCCCTTGTTGGCATAAAAATAAAGAAATAATAATGTATTCAGGATTTCTAGTGGGCGTTGTGCGCGTTGCCCGTAATTTTTGCTTTGGCATTAATTTTAAACTCTTTAGGAGAGAGCCCCTTCTTGTTCTGGGATATTTGGAATTCCTGGAGCGCATTAGTTGAATTGATGAGCCAATGAGATCCTATGGTGGCGAGTTTAATTACTTGATATGCAGTACTTACGTTTGAGGGGTTCCACTTTCTTTCCTGGGCACTGCTTCGTGGAGATAAGGCATTCTCTCTATCTTCTCACTTGGAGTCATCAGCACTTCTGTAAAGGAATTCGAAGCAATGGCCATGCAGTTCATGCCAGAAAAATGGCTAAAAGCAAGAGGATTCAGAACCTTTCCTGAGATAGTCTTTAACATTTCACACCTTACACCATTCCTTTATGCTAGTCTTTCCCTAGCGTCATTATGGCACGAGTATCATTTGCGAAAAAATGGCCTTAATCTTGATATATTCCTTCATAATTCTTAGGCCCTTGACTACTAATCAGCGTACCTGCACCACGTGCGCCCAGCGTAGTAGTCACTCATTCGGGGTTATCAAGGTGGCAATCACGATGGTTGGGCGAGGGCCTAGCACTCCAGCAAGCTGTTACGGTAATGTGGTTGATTTCTAACCATCAGCTACCAAAGATTGCCTTATATGAAGATTTTGACGAATTTGCATTTGGTACAAGGTTAACTGAATGAGCCTCACTTCGTACGCTAGACTTTCTCTTTCTAGACTTCATAGATATTTCAGAAACAGACCTTCATGGGGCATGTTTTTGAAGCTGATGAGAAAAATACTCTTTCTGAGGGAGGAATTCTTAGAGATCTGGCTTACCTTCTGAAGAGACAGTCTTGATAGCTTCATCTGAAGAAGCAGAGTTGAAGATGTCTTTTATCCAAAAGTCTAAGTCCTTGCGGTTGTCATCATGGCTCTTCTTACAAATGAAGTCGACGATTTTTTCGGCCTCGAGCTTCATGCCTAACTTGCTCAGAGCTTCACACAACGCTCTAAAGAAAGAGTGTTTGGAGGCACAGGAAAGCTTTCTCCACTCGCTCAAAAGAAGGTATGTGCTCCTGAAGGCGGTTCTGCTCATTCGTTGTACTCTTTGAAGAACGTCATGATCGAGTCCCAGCTCCTTCCCAAGGTCCTCCCATCGGGCCCATGCTTTACTCAGCTTCCCAGCAATTTCCCATATTTCATTTTCAGAGGGAATTCTGCAGAGATTTTAAAAAGATATGCGTCTGAGGACCCTCAATGGTTCGCTTGTCCACTTCGCAAGGATGAACCCCTTTGATTTGAACAGCCGTAGTATTCCAGGTCAAACTATGATGGTGGGGCTTCTGTTGAGGGCGACGAAGACGAACGAAAACATGCATGACGCGCTTGGTTAAGGAGTTTCATACTGGATTAGTCATTGCCGAGGATAATCAGGACCGCAAGAGCCATTTAGTCATTGTTCTTCTGGGGTGACTATTAATAAGTTGGCTACGGTGGCCGAATGAGGAATGTGCTAAAGAGGTTTGCTGTGATTTGTGGACCTCAAAAAGTGCCTACAAACTTCCCCACCGAGTGGGGAGTGGAGGGGGAGTGCTACTGGAGTATGGGATTGAAGCACTTGGTTCGTAGCGAGCTGCTTTCAATGTTGAAAAAGCGCATTTTGCAATGAATAAATATTTTAAGCTACTGCAGTGAAACTTATTATTTAGAATGCTAAAATGGATCTCGAATACTGCGACTTACTTGCTTAGTAGGATACTTGCTCGATCAGAATCGCCTGCATCAGTGGCATCCCCTATTTATGGGAAACAATAAGAAAAAGAAATTGGACAATAGAAATTAGCTGGGTCACATAAATCTGGTTGCTCGTGTTCTAACTGAAGAGTGCTCACATTGGGCCTGAAGTTTTGAAGATATGAAGCTCTGTCCAGCCTCTTCAAGAGCTTTAAGAAATTTATCAAATGTCTTTGGCTCGATCACAGCCAGTATTTTCGTCAAGAAGATGATTCTCTGGTCCCCCAAATCTGGGGAAGCCATGATCTCATCCACATCTTCTGACGACAGAACCCCTGAGTCGTACAATTTATTTGCGACTCTGTCGACGTCCAAGTGGCTTCTCAGGAAATTCCAGTTTGACAGGAATAAGCCGTCCAAGGAACTTGGAGGCTCATTTCTCTCTGTGAGGCAGAATAAAAGTTACCAAAACATATTATGTTCTATTCTGTGTCTGGTTCTTCATGAAAACAATAATTGGCTTCCTAACGTGCTGACTACACGTGACGTCTCTATGCGTCACGACTTGCCATGCCTCCGATACACATGACGCACTTGTATGCGTCATGAAAATTCCAAATCCTCCAGAATGCAGCTGTATTATGTGTGCATATTTGCAGCTCTGAACAAGTAAGACAGTTAGAACAAATTCGCACTGGCGTCTGATTCCAAGTATACCACAAATGTCTGTGAAACATGTATGACAAGTTTATTCAAACAAAATTTTTAGATGCATGCATTTTTGCTGTTTCCGGTGTATCAGAGGCACGGCCCCCTCAAAACAGTGTTTACTCAAGGGGTTAAGGAAAATCGAGAAGGCATGACCTTCATTTTTTGCATCTCTACTATAATCTCATGCTTACCTGCGATCATTCGGTCCGCAAGGCTTTCATGGCCTCGTTCCCTTAAACATTCCAAGAAACCACAGAAAGCACTGTCGTCTCCCCTAGCGAGCCATTCCTGCAGATGCAGCCACCTTTGTGCTGGAGATTCCGTTTCCCGGGCGGCAAAACATTCTGCATCAGGCAGGATGTTCTTCTCCCACAAGTCGTCGAGGATGTCGTCGACTTTGACGAATTCAAGGTCATCTGCGTGAAGGGCGATGACTTCCGAAATATCCATTAACAGGTATCATGAACCTTCAATCCCAAGGCTCTATCCTGAACGATTGGAGGCAAGGGAGAGGGTTTTTATTTTTATTCTTCGAATAATGCATTGAAAATGCATTGAGAGTTGAAAGTAGCTCAATTTAACAAGGTTAAGTTCGCTAATACCCTCCTAACGCAACATTTGATTCTGCTTCCACCGTAAGGGGAATGTGGTTAGGGTACACATATTGCCACATTTCGTAATAGACAGGGCATGCGAAGGGCCCATCAAAACCCATAATTTTCTTTCAATACGAAACAAGACTTACATTTTTATTTATATGGGAAGTTTTCTTCTGGGCGACTAGATAGAGTTCTTATGCGGAATGCAAAATAAAATTCCTTATTTAACAGAAATTGGTGCAGTGTCCGATCAAATCTGATCAAGGCCCATTGTAAAATTCTATTGAACGTCAGCAACAAAGATGCCTAACCAGACATCCACCTGGTTCCAAATCTTCCTGGTAGGAGGACGTTTTGTAAGGGGCACACGACCGGCAGCGGCTATGGTAACTTCGGATACTCATGTGCTTGGGTTCAGTTATTATTTCGCCGAATTGACTAGCTCTCAAAGGTCCCACAATCATTATGAGGTGTCATATATCATGTGGGATGACAGTCATCAATGCCTGTTGTTAAATGGCTTTTGCGGCCGTACTACCCTCTGCCATGAAGCCGTATTCATTACTTTCATTCCTTCTTTCCCATCGTAATGCACTAATGTGGTTTCTTTGAACCTTTAAAATATATTTTCTGATTCATACAATTCGATGAAGCGCTGACACAAAATAGAGGATTGTTCGCCGTTTCTAAACTCCGCAGAGAGTTAAGAACTTGCGAGCATGTTTAGTCTGTATTCCTTAGATTTACAGCGATAAAAAATATGTATATATTTCCGAATTTCTCAAATTTTTTGTCGCATCATACGAAGGTTATCTCCATTGGAAACGCAAAGGATACCAGAATAAGATCGTCAAATCTTCGATTACAGTACCAGGAATGCTCATGGACCCGTGGTTCCCACATAGCCAAATTCGAGATAGTAATGGAAAGAAACTACGGTATACAGATATGCAGGGCGTGGTAATCAAAACCTGAACGAACTCATTACGATCACACTGCGGTACGTAGCTTGTTAATGAGACACTCTGTTCATCTACCTGTTTCAGTAACGTCGTTTCTCCAGAATCTTTTTCTGGAGATCCTCAGAGAGACCTTCAACTTCAGTTAGTCCAAATGTTGAAGAGAGGTCATGGAACAAAACCTTGATTGCGAAATAGGCACTGGGTTAGTAGGTTCGAAAATGGTTCTTGGAATTGGATTGACAGTTGTGCACGGGAGATGATAGCTTCAAGCATAATACTGGGACTTATTTTCATTGGCACTTCCTTTTTCCATGAGAAGGATGAGAACTCTCTCCTTCCCATTACCTGTTGAAAGTATCACAATTTCTAAAGGATTTTCCACGAACTCTTCATCTAATCAACTTGCCTACACTTGTCATTGCGGAAAGTCAGAGACGTTAATATGACCTGGCAATACTATAAATCTAAATGCGTATGCGAGCAGATATGTGGTCGTGAGGGCACTACCAATACTACTACTCAAAACTAACACTACTATACTTCCTACTTTTCCCAATGCACGAATTAGCCGCTTGAACCGCGAAAAGGACGACCTACATAGCCACAGAAACAGGAGAACTGCAACAGCAGGAACCATGCGGGGGACTTTCCAGAGGATAAAAGTGGAACTTTCATTGTAGATTATAGTGCGTAGGAAGATATACAACTTGTGATTGCTCCAGCTTTCCACATTTTCTCCGATAGGTCTTATCTTCGTGACTCATCTGGTTGCGATCCATTTGACTCATACCGGAACATCAGGATTTTCAAGTACTCCATGGTGTCCATATGAGTCTTCTTGGGACATGTAGTCATCCCAAAAGTTCTAGAACATTTTATTCTACTAGTCACAACGCAAAACCCATTGTGATTCCAATTAAGCTTTTTCATATTGACCCTGCGCTGCTGCACACATTCATAAAACCTTTCCTTTACATATTTTTGCTATATTCAGCAAACCAATTTGCATGATCCACTTGAAACCCATTGAATCACTGCGGGAACAAGCTAGTGCATATTTCCATAGAGTTTGCTGGGTAGCAATTTTGTCATTCCTGAAAATGACCATGGTGCAAAGCTATATCTACCAATCTGCAACCTTTATGTCTTGGGAGAAACCAAATCATCATTGCTGCTATTGAATACCTTCATCCTAGTAGTTCAATATTGGTCAAATTTGAAACTCTTACAGTTTTTTACTGCATGACATCTTTATTCTTATTTCACCATCACGATAAAGAAAATTGTGCAAAATGTGATACCATTGTTGCCACTGGACCTCATGCAGACGAAAATATTCCCGTTTGTTTTCAAAGTTTTGGAATGGCCCTCTAGGATACGCTGACCATGGCAGTGCAGTTCGATATTGTTCCCTTGGCAACATGTTTCCGACTTGGGTAAGTTTTTTTCAGGTTTAGAGTACCTTTTTCTTAACTCTTGGCAAAGGGGATTGTTGTGACCCAAAACTCATTTTCATGTTGCTTATGAGTACTTCATAATTGAGAAAAAATACTTTGAAAATTTCGAATTGGTGGTGAGGTTATATTGATAGCCAGTTCTAATAACATCGAACAGATTCGCATACGTGTATCTCTTTCATATCATTAAACTGGCATCCGAAAGAAAACCACAAGAATTTTGAAAAGTTATGTTTTTGCAAGGCAAGTTAACTTGGCCAAGGAAGAATTCTGACCACACGGTGCTTCTAAAAAAAAGGTACCAAAATCATTTTTCGCTATCAATGACGGTATATTTTATCAGATAAGCTCAATGTTTTGAACTCAGCATGAGGACAAAGGAAAAGTGTACCTAATGTAGCTAATTTAAAGAAAATTGACTTATTTTATCGCGTTCTATGCCAGTTCAAACTTGATAATTGAAAAGTGTGTCGTTAAAGCAAGCTCATTTGCACGCCTCAGCCAGTGAAACGAGCGAAACTCTGCCTGCCATACCAAACAGATAAGAAGGAAGGGCGTGATGTTTTCCCTTCGTTATCTATTTTGATAACGAATTTTTTCTTTTTACCAATTCAAAGGATAATATTCCTGGTAAATGTGTCAGAAAAAAATTAGTAAAGTTTTTTTTTGGAGCTCAGGGGTTCCAAAGAAACTGCCAACTTGTTCCTATCAGGATCGTAGGTTTCCTCGGATCAGCCTAATTTATTGAACTTTGAATGCTGATAGATGGTGGAAGGTTTCTGCCGAATTTCAAACAAATTCATACTATTGGTCACACCATATGCTCAAAATGGCCCCTACGCATTCGAACTCTAGCATGCAGCCGCTCTCGTAATTCCTGAATTGTTCCACTGATGATGCAATGCTCCGGGTATTCAGTGTATTTTCCGATCCTTTAAGTTTTAAACAGTGTTGCATGCGACACCAAGGGGCAATTTCAGTCTTCTGGAAACACCGTTTATGATCGGCAAAGGCCGACTGGAGAAGTAAAAGGCTGGATGATAAGCATTGGAGTGATACATATCATGGAGTTTTTATCGCGTCCGGTTCCCTTCTCTCGAATTACTTGCCCTTTTGTGAAAACGGAGGAAGATAATCAAGGAAGTGGAAGGACTTATCACACAGAGACTAGCCATATCTCAACGGTGCTCAAACATTTGCTCGTTATCTGGAATTCCTATAAGGGGACTTTGGGGAAAAGGCATATACAGTATTACGATAGGCTTGTCTCTTTTTTTTTATTCCGTTTGTCAGACAACAAGACTCGCTGCGCATGTGCGGCTTTCCGCCTGGGTAGGGGTGCCCGTCTTCCACTAAACCAGGGGCGGGCAAAATACGGCCCGCGGGCCGAATCCGGCCCGCCAAGTGATTTTATCCAGCCCCGTCACTCTGTCTAACAAAAGGAAACATGTTAGTTTAGTCATAGAAAGGACCTATTGTAATCAATGAATGAGTTGAGCTCGCTCATTTCGTTTGTCATTATTAGGCCCTCTTTCCCTTACTTTCCTCTCCTCAACTCTCCTCAAATAGCCATGTTTCGACTATAGTCTTTTCTAGAATGGCGCTTTCCTGGGATTCAGGTTATTAATTATCAAGATGTCATGCTTCCCAGGATAGCCTGGCCCAACTGTCAAACCTGTCAACTCTGGGATTTGTGGCTATCAGAGATTGGGAATCTAACTGTAACGACTGAGTGAGATTTTTTAGAATTCGAGCCATTTTTATGGATTTTGTCACAGACAGTCCTATAGGCTACACCACAGTGCACTTTAACATTATCGAAGATGAATGACATGAAATGTTTTGAGAGCGATATATAGGGTGATAAAAAAAAACGCTCTACCGTTTTCTATGGGAGAAACACGGTTTCATAAACTCAGCAAAAAAAATTAAATTAAAGGTATTGACCTGTGCTCGACCGTCTCAGAATGCAAGGAACTTTTCAACTTTAATTTTTTACGGGACAGTTGGATCCAGCTGATACATGAAAAAGAGGTTCACGTGTCTGAGGTTTTTTCACTTCCGCATTAT